TCAATAAAGTTGAAGGTACTTCTTCAAGTTCAAATAGTCAACAAAGAAGCAGTCAAGGATATTTTGAAGAAAAGAGGGTCAATATAGTAGAATGGAAGAACTTAATGAAAGAACAAGTTCAGCATACAGATAAACATACAGTGGTAGACATGGTGAATAACACCAAAGGAGATATTGCAAGAATAGGTATTTCAATACCTACAATTAGAAATGTTATACATTCAGAGGTTGTAGAAACAAGTCTTCCTGCTGTAAATATTGAATTTTTATTTGATGATCAGTATAAGGTGTATAATATTATTATGTGACATTTGGATGAAACTTTGGAAGAAAAGTATCCACGCCAGTTATTGATAATGATACAAGGAGAAGGTGGAACAGAAAAATTGGCTGTAGTTCAAATAAGTACAGATTATTTTGAGAAAAGAGGTATATCAAAGTTGTTAAAAAAGATGGCTTACATTAACATTACTGCTTCGGTAATTAGAAAACAGACAACACATAGTGGAGGATGTATTCTGATAGGAAATGTGACAAAGTTGTCAGGTGCAGGAAAGAAAAGATTAGAAGAGATGTGGAAATTTACTCAGTACAGTTTTATTGATGAGATATCAATGATCTCATGAAAATTTCTTGCAATAATCTCTTAAAACATATCCATTGGGAAAGGATACCTTTCAGATAGAGATAATTTATTTGAAGAATGAATCTTATTCTTATAGAAGATTTTTGGCAGTTTCCTTCTTTGGTTGAATTCCCTGAAGTCCACTATACTATCTAGATAATCTGAATAAGAATAAAATAATGTCTATTGGAAGTCAACTATATCAGCAGTTTATCACCATAGTAATTCTCAAAGAACAGATACAATATAAATATTGGTTATAAATTATAACTTATCTGTTACAATAAGAGTCTATCTCTTGATTGATGGACTTAGAAGAGACCAATGACCGATGACTGAGACTGATGACCGATGACTGAGTATTTATAATCAGGATTTAACAGTATCGTATTGACTCATATGTACCAGAACTGACTAGAAGCTTATAAAACATTGCAGAATGTTCTGTATCCCTCTCGTATTTACTAGTAGCTACTATCCTGGTGAACACTCTTAGTATTTAGTACAATTATTGGTGGATTTAGCTTTAGTATAAATAGCTCTATGTATGAGTGTCGAAGTTCCCTAACTTCAACCTCTCTTGTTACCTTTTGTTATCTTGTATCTTAGTATCTTACAAGCTCGAGTCAAATAACAAGTAGCTTGTCTGTGTGGACATTCAAGCATGAACTAGAGTCTTGGTTTGCATATACAAACAGAAGTATAACTCTATCTGAATACGATTGCTCTCTAGTTGACTTTAGTTAGTCAATAGTAGATTAGATTACCTGTCTTAGGTTAGACAGAGGGATATAGATTAGTATAGACTAATCTCGGATATGTGTTAAGTTAGAACGTGTAAGTCTATTAGTAGACAAGGCCTAGGTACAGGTAGTAGAACTAGAGGTTGGAGAATAGACCTAGCCAAGTAGGCTAAACATTCAAGAAGAAGCCGAGATCAAGGGCTTAGCCAGGAAGGCTAAAGATCAAACATCAATTAGTCGATACCTTAACATTATCATTTCAATTTGAAGATTCATGTTATGGATCCTGTATAGACAGATTTCCTACATCGATTCTGACAAGGTCATATTTGCAAAGAAGACATCGAGATGTTACAAGAATTGATATTGACTTCTGATAAATATCCAGAAACAGACTTCACCCAAGTACCATAGAAGGACGCTAGTCTCATAACACCATGACATTGTGTTCATATGGCATGGAATATGATAGCTGTTAAACAACATTGTTCAAACCTAAAAATGCAAATGTTTATCAGTCCTGCTTATGATTCTATCAATCAACATCTGCTAACACTAATGCAAAGGTATCTCTCTGCTTTGCACAAGGGTAGAGAAACACAAGGTGATACAGAACAGGCAGCACTTCCAAACTCTATTGAATTTGGCAAGGAGGTGAAAGTAATAGTTACTTTCAATGTTCAAACAGATCTCAATATTGTGAATGGAGTATGAGGTGTTGTACAAGATTTCATATTCGATCCTCGAGAGCCTGTAATTTTAGATGACAATGTTGTCAAATTAAAGTATCCTTCCACCATTGTTATCATTAAACTAGATCATACAAGAATTCACCCATTACCAGGACTGCAACTAGGAGAAGTTCCTATGGAACCAATAATAAAAACATATCAAATAAAAGAAAAAGGAATTCCTCAGAAAGTAACAAGAATGCAGTTCACAATGACACTGTTATAACCCTGAATGAACCCCGACTGAGACCCCAACCATTCCCGACCTGATATTGGTCTGACCATCTGTTCTTGGTGAACACGAGGATACTTACCTCCTGGAGAATGCACACTTTCCACTCATAGATACTTATGTTTCCTGCATGTTCGCTTATGTTGTTTCCCGGTCAATCGGCCATTCCCTTTCCACACATAGTTAGCATTGTTTTCTCATTGTAGACACTGCATCGGCCCTGTCGGGATTCATACCAGATATATATTTAAGTTCTAGTATAGTCGACTGTAGGGCCTCAGTCGTATATCTCATTATATCTCGTTACATTAAGTACTCATATCCATGTACTTCTGCATCTGAATATAGTCTACGACCTTCCGCTCCTTACCCCGACCCATCCGACCCTGACTCTTCCACTTCTGTTCAATCCGACTTCCCAACTCAAGTTATTCTCAGCTTCCTCCCTCGCTCTCACCTTCTCCTCTGCCTTTCATCCCGACATCTCCGACTCCAACTCAGAGTCTTCCAACAAGAAGGATACTTTCCGCAAATAAGGAACCAAGAGGTTAGTGGGGGCACAGCTCCCCGCGAGCTGAGGCCAAGGTTCCTCCAACTCCGACTTAGCTGACATTCTGCCCAACTAAGTAAAGTAAAGTCTACGTACTTAACAATTACATATAGATGAGAAAGACCTCGGGATTGATTTTCAATGACATATATGACAACAATGTTTTTGAAAACAGAGATATAGATCTATAAAGACATTGTAAGATTAGAAAATACAGTAAAACTGAGTATCATACTGAACTGAATCTAAGTTTTCAACATCCATATTTCTAGCAAAGATAAATTGGTGATATGAGACTGACAAAGTTTTTCTTGCCTGCATACAAAAAGAAGTGTTGATAATGGAATTGAAGTTAAAAATATATCTATGTGTCTTACACAGACAAGTTTGAGAGGAGTATGTTGACAGAGTATATGCCAGTTGATGTTATGTCTATGTACTTTACACAGACAGATTTGAAGTGAAAATGTTGATAAAATATGTAGATTAGTAATCAAGAGAAGATGAAGATGGTTGAAAATAAATGTACCAATAAAACTACAAATGCTGTACTTTTAATAAATGTAACTGAGGTCATCATTAAAAAAAGTGTTGATAATTGAATGTTGAACAATAAAGTTATGTCTATGTACTTTACATGAACAGATTTGAGGTAATAATGTTGATTAAAATTGTAAGTCAGTTATCAAAGACAGATAAACATGCTTGAAATTGAATATACAAATAAAAATGTTCATGCTTTGTATTAAAGTGAGTGAGAAAGAGTAGAGTCGGATACTTGAACAGCTCTACCTGTGCCAAGTGCTCAGCTCTACTTGCAAAGTAAATATTTATATAATCATAATTATACCATGGTAAGTAGCGATATAGTTTAAATGCAAGCAAAGAAGAAACATTGTAAAGTCAATAGCAAGTATATTGTATTGCAGTAGTGAGAAGATCACTAAGCTATCAATAGTGAGGTAACAAGGTATTGACAGTAAAGTAGCAAGGTATCGACAAGGTAAAAGTAAAAGGAAAAAATCTCGAAAAGGCAAAAGTTGCAGCATCGCATAAAAAGTAAAAAAAAGCTAGCTTGCTCAGATGAGTAAGAATGTATAATGTCATTTATGGGTATTGGGTCCTTCAACTTCAATCTAGTATTGGTCATGGAGGTGAATTGCATATTCATCAGAGTCCTCTTCTTGGGAGATGGGTAAGTTGTAACATTGTTTGAGATATTCACACTGAGTGATTGTCAACCAGCTGTAACAGCAAGAGATAATTCCTTGGTCAGATAAACTAGCACAGATAAAATAAGCATAAGCTTTCTTCTCTCTTCGAAAATGAAACATTGGCCAGCCAATCTCTTTGATTTTGGTCTCTTCATCCAGATCCTTGTCCTGAAACTTTTGAGTAATGAGTACAAGTCTTTCTAGATTTCAAGCAATACAATTAGTAAATGCACCATCTTAAGTGTATAGGTTTTGCAGACTTCTTTAGCTAAATTGATTGTGGTAGAGACCTTGTATATAGGTGTTCTACCCTTAGGGTTCAATCTTTTAATAAATTTCAAGCTCAATAGAGAAATTTTAGGCAATGGGGGAGGAGAGGTCTGATTCTCAATGAAGAGATCTTCATCTGGAATTAGATTCTTGTTGGTGAATTGAAAAGAGTTATGGCCATATAATTTGGCCAGTGGATTGCACCATGTTCTGTCTTGTACCTTGAGGGTGTCCGAGATCTCTGTTGAGTTAAGATGGCTGAATTTGATGGGTTTCTTTGGAAAGATATTAGGATAGGAAGAGTTGACATCGAATGGGTTTTTATCAGGGTAGGTATGAACGATGATGCTTGCAGGAGATTTCATGGTGAAACTGAATCTAGTAGATGAGGAAGCCTGAAAGGAGCTTGAGGGGGTGCAAGCAGAAGAGTACATGAGCAAGGAATATCGCCAGTCAGTGACAACAATACTATTACATATCTCATGTTATTTCTAGTGAAAGATCTTGTCAGGTAGAAGTTCGGATATAAAAATACATACATAACTTTGGGGAGACCGTGGTCAAACTGAAAGGGAAGTTGCGTGTGGCTTGTTAACGTGGAAACTTCAACTTGGGATGATGAAGACCAAAAAGTGTGGTGCGAGTGGGATTTGAACCCACGCCTGGATACCCAGATGAGAAGACCCGTAAGTTGAACAGGCAAGCTTTCGCTTGAGTCACACGCCTTGGACCGCTCGGCCATCGCACCTTGAAAGGCTATACTCCGCTGTCACATATTGCTTTATCCCTGCAAGATGACGTCATTCGACCTCGACACCAGTCCTGGGCCAGTCACTTCAGCTCCATATAAACCTCGCCTCAAACTCGAGAAATGTACTTTCATTCTTTCCCCCATCAAACATTTTCCCTAAATCATCATGTCGGATGAATACGCCAGCTCAGGATACAAAGGTTTTTTGGTCAACCAATGTGAGTAAACAATATATTGAAACGTTTTCAAGTCTTCTAAACAAACAATTTGTTTTCGTAGCTGCTAATGTAGACATACCTGACCAAAGTGATTATACAACCCATAATTATCCTTCGGAAGGTGATAGTAAGTTGATTTTTATTTCGACTTTTATAACAGCCTACTACGCTTGATTTTATTAATCCGTCATACTTACTACTTGTGACTTTAGCTACCGCCGAAGGAGGTTATGGATCACCCGTCAATTCATGGTCTGATCTTTCTCAAAGAGGTCGACCAGATAAGACTACTTCATCTTCCAACTCTCTCCCAAACAATTCTTCAAATTCCAGTACTAGTAATCATGGACTCATCGATCAATCAACTAACGGTGGTCCTATCGGGAATGAAATCAATGATGCAATACAAGGAGAGGATGAGTTCAGTAGAGAAGAATACGAACATGAAGTTGAAAGAGATTTTGCTGCTAAAAGTCCGGTGGGTGGAGGTCATGATCATCATGAACATATGCACGATGGGTTGAATCCGTACGGGAGAAATCCAGATAATGAGAAGGAAGCTAGTGATATGCTCGCTTCGCAGTTTGTGGATTCGAGGAATAGGGAGTATGGAAGTTGATCGTTACAGACATAATACGGACAGTGTTGTAATAATAGCAATAGTGATTATATTATAACCTCCTCAGTCAATTGTTCCATTCGCGCAGGATTATTTCTTACATGGGATCCTCTAGTCGCAGAAAAGTAGACGATGATCGACTCGGCTCATGGTGAAAAAGAAAAAAGAAAATTGTATGTGAGGTATATATGTTCATGAGGGTAGGTACATGCATTAGCTACAAGAATATTGCCGGATAATAGGAGGATGGTTGAAAAAAAGAATTGAACAGACAACCGAGCCGAGCCGAAACAAGCCTTAGAGAAAGAAAAAAAAGATAGTGCTGTAAGACAGGGAAACCGAAACCTAAGGAGAAGAAAAGGAAATGAAAAAAAAATTGGAAACGCAATTGTCAAAAAAGATGTAAACCAGAGGGAGTTGATGTTCGAAGCGTACCTAAACAGAGATTGTGAAGATCGACAAGCAGCAGTGCGGTAATGTGTGAGACGACAACGAGGAGTAAGAAAGATGAAAAGAAGAATGGAGAAACCAGAATTGATAGATGACGATGATGATTGATGATGGAGAGGAACTGTGGGGATATATATATAATGAAACCATTCTGGATGTGATCAGATACTTGGGTTTTAACGGTAGGAGTGCAATGAGTGTATGTGTATGAGTGTTCTAAGTACCAACGAGTGTCCTTGGATGTAGATGCGTGATGAGCAAACGAAATGTGTAGGTATGCGTCGACGAGTAGATGGATGTAAAAAATAAGATAAAAGGATGAGACGACATTGAATGAGCGTCGTTACCCAAGAACCATGTCATCATCATCATCACCATCATCCTGCCTCCTTGAAGGTCCAGATTCGGGTGAGATGGTAATGGTTGGAACGTCTGTTGCAGCAGGTTGACGCCGAGAACCTTGAAGAAGTTGCATAACTTGTCTTCTAACATCCGGTGGGATTTCAATGTCCATCGTCGCAGTTGCAGCATTATTACTACCTCCAGCCGCATTCTCTACCGCCCGTCTCCGAGGATTAACAAGTTGTACTGCTCGTTCAATGAGCGCCCTAGAAGACTCAACGGAGTCTCCTTGTTGACCATCTTCGCGAGGACGTGGTCTTCGCATGTTCAGTAAGCTAGGTGCCCAATGCATTCGTCCACCTTGAGCTTCAGTATTCGAAGGTCCAGCAACCGCAGCAGTTGAGGTTGACGCCGAAGCTTCATTAGTCTGAGTTTGCATCCCCGCAGTTGTCCTTGTTATTGTCCGTCCATATTGTTCCAACATCCTCGTTTCCGCTGCGAGAGCACGGACTTGTCTTTCCCTTTCACGTTCTGCCCTTCTCTCTGAACGTGCGGTAATGGTGGGAGTCGCAGAAGCTCCGCCCGCAATCACAGTGGCAGTAGTAGTACCACCGTTCTCTCCACCCGTATTGGTATTGTTCGTAGTGTTCGCTCGGCTCCGAGTACCATCGCCACCTTGAGCACCATGATGTTCTCCATCATCATCGGGATCCTTCGCGCTACACCAAAATCGATGCCCTTCACTCCAAGCGGTGCTTTGACATTCCTTTCCGCAATATTTCGCTTTACGACATCTTCGGCACTTGGCAAATTCTCGAGGGAAACTCTCCCATTTACCGCACATCACTGGAAAAAGATGAACAGACCGTTTAGTCAGAGTTGTAAACACATGAAGCAAGATTTGATGACTTACTATTAGCGCATTGCCTGATGCCTCCTCTACTATCATCCTTCCGACAAGCGTTCCTCATGATGACACCAGCCCAGTACTGAATCTCAGGAGGCAAAGTCGGGGGTGGGTTAGGTGAATCAACTTCAGAAGAACTAGGACGATAGGTGAACCTTTCCACAAGCGAAAACACGTTCGTCATGCGAGGAGTAGCCGGAGTGTTTGATCCAGAAGTTGAAGGTCCAGTGATAGTCGAAGTGCTCGAACTTGTCGACATTGTAGAAGGTACACTAGCCCTTTCCTTTTCTTTTCCACGACCAGTAGCAGTAGCGAACGCCTTCAGGAATGGGTTGTTCGATTCTTTGGGGGCCGGGGTAGAAACTCCCCCAGATGCTGAAGTCGACCCAGACGTCGATGCAGAAGGTGGTACTGACACTTTGCTACGATTGAGTCCAGGATACTTCACATCGGAGGGCTGTTGTTGAGCTGCGGCCGGATGGAAGCTCACCCGGGGTTTGTAGAAAGCCTGACGAACATGTGGGTACTTGCTGAGATATGCAAGTAGCTGTAAACTAAGCAAAACATCCTCATCTCTATAAGGGCCAGATTCGAGGTCGTGACCATGGTGATGATGATGGTGGTGATGACGATTCCCAGCACCAGTAGCTGTAGTGTTAGTTGCGTTTGTAGCTTGAGGATTGGTAGCTGCTCGAGCAATACGGATAGCGGTAGGGTTTCCACCAGTCTCACCACCAGTGACACGCAGAGTGTTGTTCTGGGCGGGAGTTATCATGATAGGAATGTTACCAGGTAGATTCACCGGGCCAGCCCTAGGAGTACGTTCGCCGCCAGTGACATGAGGCTCCGCGATGGCAGGCGGTCCATCGATGGCACCAGGGGCACCAGGAGGAGCACCCATAGCAAAATCGTCGTTCGCATCGAGAGATACAATACCATCCTCTACACCACCAGCACCTTCAACACCATTCACTTGATCATTGATAATGATGTGAGCATCAGTGTTCATATCCATCGAAGCACCTGCTGGGGTAGGCGTGTTATCTGACACAATACCCACGGCTCGACGTGAATGAGTAGCGGTGTTTTGTCGAACAGCTGCCGCTGCATCAGGAGAAGGATTTCGGCGTTCAGGTGTGGAAGCACCAGAGATCGAAGGTGCGTCACTCTCTCTGACGCTATCGTCCATATCAACATCGCCGTCATCCTCAGTTTCTGTTTCCGGGCGGGACGTATCTGTAGAATTAGCAGTTGAAGGTCCTTCGGAACTTGGAGCCACGGCAAGTCGCGCGGAAGTGGTTCGGTGATTTCTACGGTGATGGCTTGTGCTTGCGCCAGGTGGAGGAGCTTGATCCCACACGGGTCGTGCAATAATTGTACCACTACGGTCTCTTCCTGGGATCACAACGGTACCAGTTGGTGTGCTAGTGCCAAGAGGGGTGACATTTGTTGAAGTTTCGTTGGATGTATCCTCTCGTGAGACTGTCTGAAGCACTTCCGTAGTAGTGGGTTCTGTCTCCATCGAATCGTCCTGAATGAGTATGTCAGTACCTGAACGGTAAACGATGAAAAAGAGAATTAATAATACCTCCTGATGAAGTAAGGCTGCTCGCTCAGCACGTAGACGCTCCACAGTGACCTGCCGCTGTAATGCTCGTGCTAATTGTGCGGCCTGTTCTCGTTGACGGGCTTCTGATTGTGCTTGCCGTCGAGCGAGTCTCTGTTCTCGAGTCTCTCGAGGCATACCACTACCGACTGCGTTAGGACCAACAGCAAAACCCTTGCTTGCCAACCAAGCTTCTAAGATACAACCAACGACTTCTAGGGTACCTGCCTGAACCACTCGACTACGTATAGACTCGTTGCCTCGAACACCGATGTTGACTACACACTGGAAGGCGAGTGAGAAACGGTAGGCGGCATGTTTGTCGACAGACTTGGGAATTAGGGTGGGGACGAGTTTCGGTGCTGGAGTAGATGGAGGCTGAAGGCCGTAAAACAAGGCAGGATTCTCTGGAGGAGGTGGACAGATACAAAAGTCTTGAAGAATCCGGACTAATCGCTCAAGACCACCATCCATAGTCATGATTTCCCGAATGCGGGGTGATGTTGAAGTGAGATAGGTAAGATGGGTTAAAGAGTTGAAAAGTGGTAAAGGAGAGTTTGTATCCAACGCTAAAAACAATTTTATCAACATTAGAGAAGAGTTTTGTGCATGGTGAGGGGTTGGACTGACCTCTTCTGTCGTAGAGCTGCGATGTGATGCAGACAGAGGCTCGATTCTGAGCAGGAAAGGCAAAGTTAGATTCGCGCATGGTGGGGAGAGGCTCAATATGTGAGCTCGCTGAAGATGATGGTGAATTGAGGTCGTAAGAGGAGTGGTTGTTGTCGTGTGCGGCGTGCTCGCCGTCGTCGTTGGTGTTGAGTGCGGCAGCACTCCCAGATCTGACTGATTCGTATT